TTAAGACCCCACCGGGAATACTGCATCCAGTTTTGCTCACCACAGTGTAAAAAAGATGTTGAAACTCTAGAAAGAGTGTAGAGAAGATCAACAAAGAAGGTTAGGGGACTGGAGGCTAAACATACGAAGAAGAACGGTTCCATGAATTGGATTATGCTTGTCTCGGAGTGATTGATTACTATGGATAATTTCTGGATGCCTAACATCTAGTTTAATGAAAATAAGGACTAGGGGTGACACAATAGCACTCTTCCAATATCTCAGGGGCTGCCACAAAGAAGAGGGAGTCAAGCTATTCTCCAAAGCACCCGAGGGCAGGACAAGAAGCAATGGGTGGAAGGTTTGCCTTCAGAAAATATGAGTGCTCTAACACTGGAGGTTTTCAAGAAGAAACTGGAGAGCCATTTTTCTGAAATGCTATAGGGTTTCCTGCTTGAGCAGGGGGTTGGACTAGAAGACCTCCAAAGTCACTTCCAATTCTGCTGTTTTTTTTCTTCTTCAAATGCCTTTGTAACTAGGAATGGTTGTAAGTTGAGATCTACCTGTAAAGCAGGGTTGGGATTCATTTTTTTAAATGTTCTGTGGGTGTGGCTTGGTGGTCATGTGACTGGCTGGGTGTGGCCAACTCAACATCACTCACATCGAGGCACGCATCTCCTCGCCTGGCCTCTCATGACTGTGGGGATGCTGCAACAGTCGTAAGTGTGAAAAATGGTCATAAGTCACTTTTTTCAGTGCCATTGTAACTTTAAATGGTCACTCCACACAAGCAAAGTACCAGCAAAGGAGGGGGAAAAAACTCCAGAGAGGTTCCTGTGACAGGAAGTCTAGTCCTGCCAAGAATGTAATAAGGGTTAACGGAGAGGCAGTTTCTGTAAGCAACACCAGAATGTTTACTTCCTGCCTTCCTTACAGGATTAGGCCAGTAATTTCTTCTAACAACCGGTTCTCCGAACTGCTTAGAATGTTAACAACCGGTTCTAGCAAATAGGCGCAAATTGGTAGAATCCCACCCCTGCTGTAAAGCCATTAGGTTTGGTCAAATCCCAAAATGTGAGTACCATAGAGTCTGGTCCCTGCTAGCAAAATGCCTCTTGTTGTGACTATGGATGATGGAGTTCTGCTGGACGAGAAGGCAAAAATTTCTTCCAGACATCCTAATATATTTCTGCCTAATCTTACTGATGTTCATTTTTTCCTGCGCTTTGGAGGTCTGGATATGGTTGGTCTCAGCAGCTAAGAAAGGTCAACTTGGGTCAGTACTTGGGTGGCGAAGCACCTGGAAAGTTTGAGGGGGAAAAAAAACACCACTCTGGAAGAAAGCTAAAGCCAACTGTTTATATAACACTGTCCAGAAAACTGCATGGATGCAATCACCAAGAATCAAGTTCTATTTAAGAACGTCTTTACCTTGTGTGGCCTTTTGGACTGAACTATCTAAAGGGGTGTTAAAAACTGGGGGGGGGGGACTCACGTACACCACACTGAGCCTCTTGTAGCAAAATTACTTTTTTGAGCATAAGAGCAATGAATGCAATCGAGGTTGAGAAGTGATGAGAACCCAAAGCAGGAGGGCATTAAGGAGAAACCTGACTTGGTCTGAACCACAACCCAAACTTAGCTTGAGGGGTAATTTCAGTGCGTTTAAAGGAGACCAGGGAGAGAAGGGGCACCTTTCTTCCAATTTTTTTCAGCCATATTGGCAGAAACCTGATGTATTATTTACCCATTGACTGATCCTTTCCTTGGAAGAAGTGGACTGAGACTTGGAAACTCAAGCTTTTGAAAACAGGGAAACCCTTCCTTTTGCATCATTTTATTTAAAAAAAAAAGGTGTGGAGGGAAGGTTTGGCCACTAATCCTTCTCTAAGCTCATAAGGATGCATATTTTTCCTCCTCCCTTCCCCTGCCAGCTGGGCCCAGGCCTGTGAGGGGAAGTCAGAAACATTCTCTTTCTACAACAGTGTCAATGACCTCTAAGTAACAGTGTCTTTCTGGGAAATCCAGTTTGCTGATTACTTGGAAATATTTTTCCCACCCACTGTTTTTGGAGAACTGCTTGTGCCAGAAAACAGAACGGGCTCATGAAGGTTTATATGCATGCATGCATGTATACATACGTACATACATACGTACCTCTGTGTCTCCAAGGGCTCTATTTCTCTTCCTGTTTGCAGCAGCCAGATAGTAACCAAGTCAAAATCCTTATGCATAGGAGACAATTGGTTATCTTGATTTGCGAGAGCACTTTGCTTCACACTTAAAGCAACAGAAGCTGGGTTTTAGAGTAGAATAGAATAGAATTCTTTATTGGCCAAGTGTGGTTGGACACACAAAGAATTTGTCTTGGTGCAAATACTCTCAGTATACATAAAAGAAAAGATACAGTCATCAAGAGTCGAGAATCATCAGGTACAACACTTAATGATAGTCATAGGGCACAATAAGCAATCAAATCATACTAGGAAACAGTCAATATAAATTGTAAGGATACAAGCAACAAAGTTACAGTCATACAGTCCCAAGTGGGAGGGGATGGGTGATGAGGAGTGATGAGAAGATTAACAATAATAGTAATGCAGACTTTGTAATAGTTGGACAGTGTTGAGGGAATTATTTGTTTAGCAGAGTGATGGCATTCGGGGAAAAACTGTACTTGTGTCTAGTTGTTCTGATGTGCAGGGCTCTATAGCGTGGTTTTGAGGGTAGGAGTTGAAACAGGATGTGAGGGGTCTGTAAATACTTTCACAACCCTCTTTTTGACTCGTGCAGGATACAGGTCCTCGATGGAAGGCAGGTGGGTAGTAATGGTTTTTTCTGCTGTCCTAATTATCCTCTGAAGTCTGTGTCTGTCCTGTTGGGTTGCAGAACCAAACCAGACAGTTATAGAGGTGCAGATGACCAACTCAATAGTTCCTCTGTAGAACTGGATCAGCAGCTCCTTGGGCAGTTTGAGCTTCCTAAGTTGGCTCAGAAAAAACATTCTTTGTTGTGCTTTTTTGATGACGTTTTGATCACAGAGAGGCCATGGTGACTTTTTATGCACAGACCTGCACCCCATGTCCCTGTCCACATCTTCCCTGAGACTCCGGGTTTGTCTCTGGAAAATGTTCTTAATACGTATTTCAGCTGCATCTCAGTTGGTATAAAAATATTGTTCCTTTCATTTTATATTCTTTGTATAGGTAGTTCTTGGCTTAAGACCAGAATTGGGACCAGAATTTCCATTGATAAGTAAAGCAGTTGAGTCACACCTGATTTTACAGCCTTTTTTGCCATGGTTGTTAAGCAAACCACTGCGGTTGTTAGGTGAATCATACAGTTAAGTGAATCTGACTCCCCCCTGTTGACTTTACTTGATTGGACATGAGCTAAGAAGGTCACAAATTGTGATCATATAAACCTGCAATGCCACATGTTCAGAGGTGGCATTCAGCAGGTTCTGACCAGTGCTAGAGAACCGGTAGTGGAAATTTTGAGTAGTTTGGAGAAACAGCAAATCCCACCTCTGACTGGAGGTTTTGCAGTAACCTTCCCCTGCCACGCCCACCAAGCCACGCCCATAGAACCGGTAGTAAAAAAATTTGAATCCCACCACTGCACATGTCGCTTATAAGATGGTTTGGTGCGAATCATGAGGTTCTCCTTAGGTATTATATCAGTATCATACTTGGTGATCTTAGTTATTCTGTCTTGAAATAATTGTTTTGAAATACAGGCAGTTTCGACTTACGACCACAGTTGGGACCCGAATTTTCATGGCTAAGTAAGGTAGTTATTAAGTGAGTCAGGTCTGATCTTATATTTTTTTGCTACAATGGTTTAATGTCTCGCAGTCCAAATCCAGCTTCTCCCATTGACTTTGCTTGTTGGAAGCCATCTGGGAAGGTTGCAAATGGCGATTACACGACCCAGGAATGCTGCAGTTGTTGTATATACGTATCAGTTGTCACGTGCCCAAATTTTGATCATGTGACTTTACTGCTGTGTGAGGATCAGTTGTAAATTACTTTTTTCACTGCTCTTATAACTTTGAATGTTTGCTAAAGGAAGGTGTCAGGATTCCAGCAATCACTCTAATTAAATCATGATTCTCGAACCAAACTTCAAAAAACTTCAAAGGATTCATTAGATGTGACATACTGGCACTGCCCTGTATGAAGCCAACTCTAGCATACGTAATTTACAGTCACCTGTGACCCTGTTTCCCCCCTCCCCCCTGGGTGTGTCATAAATCAGATTCTCCAATTGAGCACCTTCATGGGCTGGGTGTCATCATTCACATTCTCCAATTAAATATATTCGTGGGTAAAAGCTCTGGTATTTTAGTTACAATCTTTTAAAGATAAGAGTTGGAATGAACTTCCGCTTTCAAACTGCTGCACTGCTCTTCCAGATTTCCTTCCTCCCCACTTCTTTTATGGCAACTACTAAAACAGGCATAGTACTGTTTTATGAGTTGACAAAAGGATTGTGAAAATGACCGGTATTCTGAGTTTTGTTTTTAGTTCATACCAACATACTTAACAGACCCAAAACAATAACCAGTCAAGATGCTAGGAAGGGAACCAGTGTGATGTTCTTATATATTCTTAATTTTATTTTATCGAATGTTTTCAATCTACAGAGAAATCCTAAACCAAGTGCAGACATTTAGTAGGAAAACAGTCTGAATAGATAGGCTTCCAATTTGGGGAAGCATTTTATTTTTGTAGCCTACAATATATAGCTAGCTAGTTAATGTACGGAGAGCAAAAGAGATTTTTTACGCCCACTTGTTAAATACTAATTTGTGGATTTAAATTCATTTCTAGACAAATTTCATCCAGCATTCAACAGCAAGACAGATTCATTGTTTCTCTGGGTTTGTGTGTGCCTATTTGGATGTCCCCTGTCTCTTTGCACAACAAGTAACTCTGTCTTTTAACACAGCGATGCCTATATGCTGTCTAAAAAAACCAAATACCCAGCTAAGTGCCAGTTACCTCTTTCTTTTACAGATGATGAAGTTTGCTTGGGATAACTACAAGCAGTTCGCTCTGGGGAAAAATGAACTGAGACCTCTCACGAGAAACGGACATATCGGGAACATGTTTGGTGAGTTGAACTTTAATGTTGCTGAAATGAACCCAGTGGCTGATGTCTTCCCTAAATGCTTAGCAACAGGCAGTCAGACTAGAACACATATTTTGAAGAGTGACTAAGTGCATCGTAGACTCATACTTCCCTCCTTCAGAAGAGATATATAAATATAAGACAACTGGTAGAGCAGCCAGTTCTACCAAGTCACAGCACAACTTGGTTCTACAGACCATCGATTGGCTAGTCCTTCTAATAACTTTGAAACTGCCACTCTCAACCCAATGTATTTCAGTTGAAAGGTACCATCACAATCTCAGTCCTCAAAGCTTCTGGGGTGGCTGAAGAAAACATAGGACGACCTAATGTCATTGGAAGGGACATGAACTATATATGACAGGAGGAGAATAAGAATACAGTGGTACCTTCAACTGCTTTGAAACACATTGAATTTGATACTCAATGCATTTTGATGAGAAAATTTTGTCCCAGTCCTCATTGTTTGTTTCTATACAACGCACAAGCTGTCAAGTGTTGGCTGCCTTGTGACATTATTTCTTATAGGGGGGGGGGAATTGTTTGGTACTCATCATTTTTTGTACTCATCACGCCTCTTGGAACCAATTAATGATGAATACCAAGGTACCACTGTATAGGGAAACTATATCAGAAAGATGGGAAATGTGTTGATGTAGATTCTCGGTCATCGTCTGGAAATTGAGTCATGGCAACCAGACTTCTTTTGTTGGGTTTGAAACATTTTTCTGCTTAGCCAAGTAGCTTCACTCTGAGCAAGTGGGTTAGGGGGACCCCATATATGTCCTCCAGGGAGGTTAGATGAGAAATGAAACCTCCCTGGAAAATAGAGGGAGGGAGGGAGGGAGGGGGAGAGAGAAAGAGAGAGAGAGAGAGAGGGTTACCTTAACCAACATGCTCAGGCGCTACCTGAATAAATAGAAAAATGTTTCAAACCAACAAGAAAAGAAACCCAGTTCCCATGATGCAACATCCAGACAAAGAAGGGGAACTTTCTAACTAAGCTTTTGTATAGTTGCAAGAGTTTGTCACTGAAATCAGTGATGAAGATGGCCATAAAAGTAACCGTCATTTGAAATCTAATATTAACTGATTGTTCTACTTCTCATTGGCACCTCGAATCTGGAAGACACACACATACACACACAAACACACAGAGTCCAGCTAATGCTTTTCAAGCTTGACAACATTAGGATGTGTAGACTTCAACTCCCAGAACCGAAGTGCACACGTCTTAAACTTGTCTAATTTGGAAAACACTAGTCCAACCTGCAGATGGAGAAACTGGGACCAAGATTCCCATTTTCTATAATGGCAGATGGGCTGTATAACATGGATTCCTCTGTTATACCATGCTGAGAAATTCCTACTGGGATCCTTACTTCCTCTTCTGTCACTTCAACAGTTTAAAGGATTGAGAATCTCAAGGAGCTGAAGGCTAGTTTGGCCATTTGAGGGTAGGTAGCAAAGAGATCACATCTCAGTCATTTCATTTATACCATAATAGGCTGCAGCTCATCCCACCTCTAAAATTTCAAAGCAAAAGGTAATAAAAAGTGCATCAAATGAGAGGCAGCGAGTTCATAAAAATCAAATGGCACTGCCGTGCTTGATGCTAAACAGTTTTGAATGAAACTGATTAAGTGCAGCTCTTAAAGTCAGGTTTCTAACCAGTCTGCAACGGGAGAAGAGCTAGAATAGATGAGTTTCAGAGATTGGTGTCGGTGGGTGGTTTTACTCCCCCCACCCTGCCAGCTACTAAGCCCCCCAGCCATATTACATAAAGCTTTCAAAGTCCTCTCAATTCAAATGCAATTTGCCTGATTTAAAAGACGCTACTGATGGAGAAACTGAAGTCCAAAGCTGTTATTTGTCCAGAACTAGCTGCTGTTATGGAAGGCAGGAGGTGACTTTTGCGAAATACTGACTACGTGGATCAATATTCAAGGCTTTGCTCTTGGTGCTGGCTGGTTTGCGTAATTTCCCCATAGAAGGCTGCCATGCTTTGAGTAACTCAAATTCTTAACCCTGCTTAGAGCTAGCAAACTTCCTCCCTCGATAAGCCTTGCTTCTCTGTTCCTTTGTCAGCATAGCTCCTTGCCAGTTTTTAATTTAAACATTCAGTATTATGCCTGATCTAAATAGGCAAGACTGAAAACATCACAGTTGTGCCAATCTGGACACAGTTATTTAAGCAGGGTTTTGGACCGTTGCCGTATGGCAAACCTGATGATTGCTAACAGCGTTGCTGGGTCGCCATATGTAGCTGGATGCCTGCCTGTTATGTCTAATTAAAGCTTGTAAGTTTATCAGCTGATATGACAATTAGTTGCCTTGAAGCTTTGTTGTTCTTATTCAACCTGTAGCATCCTTTCTGGATAAACCCACCAGAAAATGACTGGGCCAGCTGCAGGCCTGTTGTGACAGGTAGGAGGCAACAAAGCAACTTGTATTTGTGTCTGTGATGATGGCCATGCATCTTTCGTTGCCTGAATTGCCATAATCAGGCGTCTGCATTGTCTGCAGCTCATTTTGTGAGAGCTTTTGAGGAGCATTTGATATTGCTGTCTATATGATCTTAGTGGGTTCTTTGGAAGACTTGGTTGGTCCCTTTCCCCCCTCCCCTCTTTCCTTCTTTTATTAAGATGATCCTGGAATTTGTTACCAGGAAAGTCTCTTTCGACCGCTAGGATATGCAGGGTGACAGATCTTTTTTTATATAAAGCCCGTCTGAAAAAAACAATGCAGATAATTGTGGATGGTTCTCAGTTTATATGCAGAAGACATTCATTTCTGCATGACTGAGTAAATAGAGCCAGGAGCGTTGCAATCCCTTTGCAAACATCAGTTAGATGAGGCAGTTCAGAAGTCAGATGTTGTTTTTGTTTTTTGTTTTTTTGTTTTTTTTAAAAAACCAATCTTATGCAAATATATTGTAAGATGTGCTTCAGAGTGCCATTTTTAATCCTGAAATCTCTGATAGCTACATCTTGCCACAGTCTGATACTAACTGTTTTGAGCTCCTACATTTCCTGGCATGAGTCCATCCTACCTGCTGACTCGATTGTTTAAATGCTCTTTTGCTGTTCACTTCTGATTCCAACATTTGATAAGATGGAAAGAGAACAAGATGGGTGTGCCTAAATTTGACAAATAAATAAATGGAACATTCTTTGTGGCTGCTATTGTGGTCATAGAATAACTCATACTCCACCTGATTTTCATACACACGCATGGTTGGCGGTTTTTGTTATTTGTTTTGGCAATGTTTAAGTTTTGTATTACCTTTTTTATTGGGCCTTTTTCAATTCTATACTTCCTTTGAAGATTGGAAAGCTCAGGTTTGAACATTAATGCCATAGGGCTATCCAAGCAGATCGTGTTGAATTCTGGGTGTTGTTTTTTTTTGGGGGGGGGGGAGGATTATAATTTAGTTTAATTTAGTTTACTTTATTGTCACTGCACCTCGTACAATGAAATTAAATACCATCTTCAGTGTACATTATGACTGAAAATAAACACCAACACACGTCCTTCACATTCTATACATTGAATTGAAAACCCCTGATACTGCATTAATATTGCACTATACAGTAGAATTCAATAGAATTACTGCCCTGGGATAGAAGCTGTTTTTCAGCCTATTTGTCCTTGTTTTTATTATCCTGTACCATCTGCCAGATGGTAATAGTTAAAAAAAAAAGGGTTCCCAGGATGAGATGGATCTTTTGAGAATGTTTTGAACTTTCTTAAGGCAGCGGGAGCTATAACGCTCTTCCAAAGAGGGGAGAGGGCAACCCATGATCCTCTGGGCAATGACGTTAATCCTCTGGAGTGCTTTCCTATCTGCCACTGTGCAATTGGCAAACCATACAGAGGGTGCAGTAAGTTAAGATATTCTCTATGGTGCAGCGGTTAGAAGGTCACCAGCAGTTTTCCATTCAGTTGTTGTTTCCTGAGAAGTCTCAGGTAGTATAATCTCTACTGGGCCATTTTGACCAGGGCTGCAGTGTGGGCACCCCAGGTCAGGTCCTCTTTTAGGGTAACACCCAGAAACTTAAAACTGGCCACTTGCTCCATTCGGTCTCCATTGATAAGCAAGGGCGGGATGTCTGTTCTGTTCCTTCTATAATCCACTATCAGCTCCTTGGTCTTATTGGTGTTGAGAACCAAGTTATTGTCTCCACACCACGAAAGCAACCGGTTCACCTCATCTCGGTAGGCAGACTCATCCCCCCCGGAGATGAGTCCCACCACTGTTGTATTATCTGCAATTTAGTAATAGTATTAGTAGTGTAAGTGGGAATGCAGTCATGCACATAAAGAGTATAGAGTAAGGGACTCAACACACAACCCTGTGATGTACCAGTGTTAAGAATAAGGGCTGAAGAGATATGATTACCTAATCTGACCCTCTGTGAGCAGCCAGACAGGAAATCCATAATCCAAATCCAAATAAGAGAACAAAGAGAACCAATTCAGAAATACAACAACTGAATTCTCACCAAAAGTGCACCTCATGCCCTAAACCAGTGTTTTTCCATTTGCCATCTTTAAGATGTGTGGACGTAAACATGCTGATTGGGGAATTTTGGGAATTGAGGTCCACCCATTTTAAGGTTGTCAAGTTTGAAAAATACTGCCCTAAATTGTTCAGCATAGAACCTCTTGCTTGTGTTTGTCTTCCTTAATGTCATCTCTGTCATCACTGATTCCAAGATCTTGTAGAGGTTATATTATGGTGGTTATTCAACATTTTGATGCCTGGATTCTTGTATGAGAGAGGGAGAAAGGGAGGGAGGAATGATGGATAGATGGGTAGCGATAGCACTTAGGACTTATATACTGCTTCATAGTGCTTTACAGCCCTCTCTAAGCAGTTTACAGAGTCAGCCTATTGCCCCCAACCATCTGGGTCCTCATTTTACCCACCTCGGAAGGATTGGAAGGCTGAGTCAACCTTGAGCCGGTCAGAATCAAAC